ATAACAAAATATCTAGTGAACACACTTCAGAATAATCGAAAACGAGCGAATTTATTTCAACAATTTAGAAATATATTTTAATAATAAATTTTTAATGAACTTTAATGATTAATTTGTTTGTCTAGAGTTTAAACTCATATCAGTTAAAGATATTATTAATACTTCTTTAGATATTATATATTTAATAACGAATTTGATTGAGAAAATAAACTTACTAAGTCTTAATATATATAATATTTCTTTGAATAATACTAAATAAAAATTTACTTATTTATAAGTATTTATTCAATAAAAAAAAAATTAAAAAAGAGTTAAATCAAATTAATAGTTTTTATATCAAATAAATATATGCTTTTATATTTAATAAATATTTACTTAAAATTATTTAAACAAATATTTTTTTTAAAGTAGTTTTTTTTTAATGTAAAAACCGGTTAAATCGTGAAATACACTTTAGTATGTTGTTAGGTAAGATATATATTTTATCATTTGAAATATTCGTATTTCTTTTACACTTAAATTAAATTTGTGTGTAATGATTTGAATATGTGTGTTCAACCGAATTTGCTCTATCTTTAAGATATCTTATTTATTCCAATTTTGAACATGCGTGTTGTTTGAAGTAATTTTAAATTCTTTTGAATATTTTAGTAGTGACCTATATTTTCGTAAAGTTAATTTAATTAATTTATCTATTTGCAGGATGTTAAATAATAGACGTAATTGATGTAGATAATGTTACTTATTCATTCAATCAGCTATCACCTCCACATATCCTATATTATATTTACATTATTATGAAACGCATACCTTATATAGAATATAAAGATTTACAATATAAATTAAAAAATTTATGTGAATGCTCGATTATTAAAAAAATTTGTTCGTTCGCGATTATTGTGCGATAGTGGTTCTTGTGACAGAAACATCATTTAATCGTTCGCTATTTATTACGAGTCGTTATAATAAAATGATTATAATTATAATAGAATAGATTTTAATTATTATCACGCATTGTGCGTAATTAGCTTTACGCGTTATATATAATGCGCTTTCATAACAATCGTTTTGTGAAATTGCTATTCGAAGCTGTACGATTAAACTCGAATTTAATATACAATAATTATTTACGGAAGACAAACGGAATTCGGATCCGTGCCATGCAACATTGAATCGCTTGTTAATTATGTAAGTAATAGTGATTCGATTGCCATCGGGTCACCTGTGAAGTTATGTCAGAGCTGACAGCCAATCGCTGATTTCTAATCGCATCCGCGTATAATGTTTTTATATAGTTTTGTGCGCAATTTTATGACTTTTGGAATATTAATATCAAAATGTTTATAAACACATAACAATATAACATATATATAAATATATATCTACTAAAAATACTAATTTTATTCTATAATTGTAAAAAATTAAATAAAAAATGAAATGAATTTATAATTCAAATTAAAATAATACAAGTCAAGCAGGATATTTATTGTTAACATTTTATGATGATTATAATAAATAATAAAACAATATTTCATTGCTTATTATAATCATATAAATTTTAGCTATAAACATCTAGCTTGACTTGTAGTTCATTATTATTTTAATTTGATTTTTAATCTAATTTAATAATCTTAATGTGTGTGTGTGTGTGTGTGTGTGTGTGTATCATTGTTCTTTTTTAGTAAATTTATCATTTGTAAGATGTGATTTCGGATATCTCATATTTAAAATATGCCTTTCAAGTTATAAAAGATTTATACTTATATTTTTTATTCTCATAATAAATTAGTCTCGATTTAGTGTCATCACGTACTAGCAATAATTCGAATGAGAAATGCGACTGGCGTGATACTCGACAGTGAAAGCGACATAATGCCACGGAGAACCTTGATCATTGTTATGTCGAGATAAATCGAGAAATATGTTATTTACTTGTGCATATATGAACTATAGTTTTGTCATCTATGGTCAATAAACATTAAAACTAAATCGCTTTTTATATACGGATCTTCTATCGTCTTAATCATTTTTGCTTTCTATGAAGTGTGACAAATATTAATTTTCGGCTAATAGTGATGGTGTCTAAAAAATTTATTAATTTGATTATTGTAACAGCGTTAGAAATCGATAATGATTCGCGCTCTATTCTTGTCATAATTATTACGGAATTGACTTCGAGATATCGAAATAGTTTTGATATAAACGCGATATAAAGTCTAAATACATAAACAGTCATTCAGAAGGCCACGAATGAATTTGATTCGTAGGTACATAATTGATTGTACGGCACGTCAGCATTTTAATTCAGATCGTCGCTTGATTATCTCATATATTCGTGAGATCTCCTTTTATTTCCTTTAACGAGGCCGAACTTTTTTTCTAATAGATTTATTTTGAATGAGAGCACGCGCCTTTTGCAATCAGATTTCTGATTCAAAACGCTTTTTAATCGATGGAATCTAATCAGTCCGAGAAATCGCTGTCGCGCTTTAAAAGATTTTCCGTCTCTTCGTGCAAGGCGATTGAACTCGCGATACTTCAGTAACCGATTTAAAGAGAGGAACGATATAATAATGTATGAATAATATTATACAATAAAAATTAATTGACGCCATTAAACGATTGATCACTGTTCTTTGGGTGATTATATCCTTATTCGACAATGCACAACGGAGCTTTGTAACGTAGAGCGTGCACGCCCAACGAATGTAATATATTCCTTATTATTAATTTATATATTAAGTACACACGGTGGCATTTTCTTTTTATGTTAATTTTAACGTATATTTATGAAATTTGTATAAGTATTTTAAAATTTGTGAAAAATAGTAATAATTGCAAAAACTAGATTAAACATCTAGTAATGAGATGAACGACATGAGATATTAAAATTGAAATGGTTATTATAAATATTAACTTTAAAAAAATATCTCTATTCAAAAGTTAAATAAAAAAACGTCGTAATCACAGTCGCGTCCTAGACGCGTTCTCATCGATTGCATAATTCATGCACAAGAACTGTTAAAAGAAAAAAAACAATTGTAATTTAACGATTACCGTACCATTATTGTTGATGCATCAATCACTATCAATATTGATAGTGATAAGTACTATCATCTACAAAAATTAGAGATTACGATACCTAATGATGTATAACAATATATTAAACCTTCAGATATGATCACCAAATTCATTATGAATTTACAATACCATCGTAAACTATAAATTGTTGGATGTCCACGTTCTGCGTAATTCCGACCAAGTGTAATGCCACATAGAGGTTTTGGGGAATTGAAATTTGGGATCTCAATCGCCCTTATTAATGATCTCGGCCTCCTGCATATCTTCGAGTGCCATATCGGCATCGCCCCATCCCCATATAGCTCCTTCATGCGAATGATGATGCTCATCATGATCGTCCGTTCGCGCATATATCGAGCCGTCACCCGTTCGGGCCGCGCGTTTCTTTATCATACTGTATGCTACAGTCTTCAAATCATACGCCCAGCCGATCCGGGCGAAGAAATCAATGAAAGCGGTAGTAAGATTTGTGCGATAGTTGCCTAATTCGGCAGCCTTGTAATCCCACGGAAACACGTGATGGTAATTGTGCCATCCTTCGCCGAAAGCGCTAATGCCAACGCTGAGACTGTCAGTGGGGCTAATGGTGCTGCGAAAAAGATAACGTTTTTTTTTTTATCGATTTCCATTCACATAGCTTTATGATTCGTATAATAAAATAAATACAAAGATGGATCTTGGTCCGTCTCTCTTTCTAATGCTATTTAAACTTCTAATCCATTATTCACTTTATACTGCTCAAGTCAACTGAAACACACTGCGCTATTTTTCATATTTCTTACTATTATTACGTTGTATGTTTTGCTTTGTTATACACTATTATGTTTAATATGTACGTGTTGTAGTATTGTATAATATTAAAATAATGCTTATCCTAATCAGTTGCGAGTTTCTCTAAACGTTTTATCGACAATTGTCGCTATAGTTAACTAACGACAGCCCATAAGAGCTGCCCTTTTTTCTAGGATTATACTGCCATTGGCTATCGCTAATTAACGATAGCGACAATCATCGATAAGACGTTTAGAGAATCCCGCTACTGATGCTTCGTTATATCAACTATTAAGCTGTAGTTCCACTTTTACGTGCCTTGGTTTGCTATTTCTCTATCTAATCTCTTTATGCTTCACATATAATGCTTTTTATGTAATGTTTTTTTAAATTTAATTGTAATTATTACACACAATAAAATAAATAAATCTTTAGTGATACTAACTTGTCATATGGTTTCATGCCCCATATGTGAGCCGCGGAATTCACTAGCCAAGTCATATTCAATGAGAGTGTGTATCTGAACAGGGTAGAATACCACGCGTACATAGGTTTCTCGTTCCAAAAATGACACGGTACCCAGGTGGGAAGTAGGAAGCAAAAAACAGGCATTAGGACGATGTAAAGTCTGTAATATAAACAGATTTATTTTGATGATCTTTTTTGATTTAATAAAGTTCATTATTTTCCAGACAAACACAAAATTAAGACGTCTTTGGCATCTAAAAGATATCTTAAAGGTCTTATGCCTCAATTTTGAACTTTATGTTATTTGAGTTTCTTTAAGAAAAAATAGAATAATTTCATTTGTGAAACCTCAATTGATTTTATAAAAACGATATCTTTGTTGTACCTGCGTTGCCAGACAATGACGAGATCCTTCTCAAGGTCGCTCATATCGATTGTGGCCCCCTTATTAATGACATCAGGGTGTTTTCGAACCAAAAGCCAGCCCATGTGAGAGAAGAAAAAGCCCCTCTTCGCGTTGTGCGGATCCGCGTCCGTATCCGTAAATTTATGGTGAACTCGGTGATCTCTCACCCATTCATAAATGTGATTCTGCATGCAAAACGCACGTTAAATGATAATTACAAAAACATTCAAGAAATTCCTCTACAAAGAAATTTATTTCTCATAAACAATAAATCTTTTATATTTTTAAAGATTCTTTAAAAATATAAAAGATTTATGAGAAATAAATTTCTCTATAGAGAGGAATTTCTTGAATGTTTTTATTATATGTATGTATATTTGCAATATATATTATTTTAAATTATACTCCCTAAAACTTTTACAGTAAATTGCTATTCTAAAAAATTAAATCTCTGCACTCTTAAAGACTGAAAATTAAGCCACTCTATTTTTCAAGATCGATTCGGTTTTCATTTTTTAGAATGAGATTTTACTCCGAAGAATTTAAAGAATACATACGAGAGTACATAATAACTATGAATTTATAATGATTGTTTTATGAATAACAGCATCACATCGAGAGACTTACTTGAAAAGCCATGGTTTGCAAAAGCATAAGAATGACTCTCATTGGCCATTTCGCTTTATAAGCCCGATGAGCCCACAGTCTATGAGCACCTGCTGTAACACCGATAGCTGAGAAAACTGCAACTACAATAGCTGAAAAAATAAATAAAATTAAGTTTGCCGACAATTAATTCATTAAAATTATGAAATCTTTTGTAGATGAAATACTTGCAATTAATTTATTATTATTTTATAGAAATCTACTAAACTCTTTATATTATTTCTTCCCACAAATTAATCAATGGCAATTCATAAAACAATGCTCAAATCTTAAATCTTAAGTTTTAAAAGATACATAAATAAAACGTACACCAAAGGAATGTGTAAAATTTGGCAGCCACTATTAAAATATACAATCCGTAAAGTGCACCGAGATGAAGATAGGCAAAAGCTATCATGTTTCTCCAAACAATCTTCCACTGATATTTAGGCTTCAAGTTTTGTGCCTTTTGGATTGGTAATTTTTGGATTGGTAATTTTTGCGTTACTGTTTTCTCTGTCGCTTTTTTTTGCGACACATCTTGCTGAGAAGCTTCGAGGAATAAAGTCGCTGAATTGCCGAACAAATTCGGCGCCATGTTGTGTTGGAAGATCTACAACAAATATTTAATTGCTCTTAAATTTCTCAAATTAAAAAAAGCTGATGCTATATACTTGATAATATTTTAAAATGTTTACAACATATGTTGAGAGAGTAATTATAGAGAATAATTTATAAAAATGTGTTGCTTAATAAAAACTGTTATAAACACAACTTTCACATGTAGTTTGTTTAAAGCGTAAATATTAATGTGTTTTTTGCCCTTACAACCTCCGTAACTTTTATCGTTTCTATATGTGGAGAGGAATCGAATGGCCCTCACATTGTAACACTGTCATTAATAGAAGATTCACGATTCTTTGACGACTTTTGATGTGCATTATGTACGCAACGATCTTGTTATAGCTTTCCAGAACATTACGTGTGGTTAATATATGCGACGTATACGTGGAAAGTGCACGTGCAAAAAAAAAAGGAATTCTTTAAACGTCGCGCTTTCAACACATCGAAATATCCGCGGTTTGTCTCGCGGAGAATGATAATTTTGAATTGTGTACGAAGCAGAGTACCGTCTTCGCACGAACACGCTGATGTCAACCACACTAACAGCCCTTCACGACAAAGTGGTACAATTCTTGCATCAGAGCAACCTCGTAATCGCTGGTGATATTACATTAGCGTACAATCTTGTCGCGGTTTAGTGAAGAGTAGATTTTTATTTTATTAACCCTATCTTTGCAAAAGCGTCGAAACCAATAATTGAAATTGTAATCTCTTATTTCAAATACTTCATTATACTTTGTGTGCTGTGACTCTTAAAAAGTTATTACATTGCCAATTTAAAGCCAATAATTTTCGTTAGAGGTATAAACCGCGAATTGAAGGATTTGGCAAACAGTACAGACAAAATGTCTAAAAGTAAAAATAGCATGTTTAAAATTGCTATTGATTACTTATTCCAACGTAGCACAAAACGAATCAAGTACTGATACTTCGGTCGACCTAAAATAAATGCTCACATTCAGAACTGAACGCGTATTCATATTACTTTTCTTTTATGGCTAATTAGATAGCAGTCGTCCCTCCTCCATATACGGTCTTGAGATTGACGACGTGAAGACGAGATATGTAGGTGCCCCACTTCTAAATATTCCTTTCTTTCATTCTGCATTCTCTCGACGTCGAGAGTTTACGGATAATTTAACGGAACCTGATTCACAATACTGTTACACATACTATGAATCCTACATCCTACAATCCTACATCGATAAATATTAATGTTTGTGTTAATAATCCGATATATAACCGTAATATATTTAGTGTTTTATTATTATAAATTATTCGCTTTCTTGACAAAATTATATTATTATTCAAATCGAAAGTGATTATGAATTTATCGAAAAACGATATCTGCGGGTGAGACAAAAAATTAACTTCTATTTTCTTTGATTTATAAAAATTACATAGCTTTAATTTTGCTTATTAATATGAAAAAAACATTCTTTTATCGGAGAAGAAAATGAAAATAAAATGTGACTCTTCAAAGATAATCATAGATTTCTTATTTCGTCATAACGTTAGCCTTTTGTTGTGTACAAAGTACTGAAAGTATAAATCAAACTCTTTTAATATTTATTGGATAGCTTAAATAATGAACAATTTAAATAATACTGTATAATGTAATTTGTTAAAATATAAATAAAATAGTGAAATATTATTACTTAATTCATCTTAAAATATCGCAAATAATTTACATTTTCCAGGACTTTATATAAGAAAAGTTTTATTTAATACTAAGACGGAAAAGGATGTTAATGTCACAAATATTAGATTATCATAGAACAATGACTTTAATAAATATACGTCTTTTTCTTTCTTTTTTCTTTTTTGTTTGTTTTACAATAATTATCGGTAATATTAAATTTATATAATGGTGTAAATGCCTTTATAAACCGACACAGAGTGACAGTATGTAAGTATATTTTATTCAATAAGAAATATAAATATAAAAACGTTTCGACCTCGGTTCGAGTCTTTTTTAGTAAATACAATTAAAACGTTACAAACTAAACTACTATGAAATTATAAACGCAAGTACTAAATCTATTTGGTGCAATCCATTTCAATAAATATCAGACTTATGATAAAATATAGGAAGATAATTTCGCAAGATTCTTCGAATATATTTAATCCAAGCAGAATGACATCAAAGTGACAATTTTAGCATTCTAAAAGGTATTTATACTATTATATAGATTTATTTTAATTGAGCCTGATCTCACTATATGTTATCATCTTGAATTTTAATATTAAATTGTTAATATTTGAATACATGTATCTGTATTACAATATGTTACTTTTAATTTTCGAAATTGGAAATTAGAAGTAAAAGTTCAAATATTGCGTTAAAGATGTTAAACAATTATTTGTGACGAATATGTTTGTACAACACTGTTCTGTCAATCAACGTAGACATTTGCACAACACAAATGCAACAGAGTTTGAGCGAATGCTTGACTTACGCTAATATTAACTCTTTACCTAGAGTAACCAGGTGGACGTGCTATTTTCAAAGTAGTTTACGCTCTTCTTCTTTAAGAGTATGTCATAAATTCTTACTTAACTGTTCAATTTACGACACTAGAATATAGCTAGAATATAGTTAGAAGGCATTCTAACTTTAGAGAAGACTATCAAAGAGAAAGTCATATAATTAGTATAAACGTTAGTGTTACATATAAATGTTAGTGTTACACCAAATTTTCATATAAATGAAATATATAAATCAGATTGAAAGAAATTTATTAATTGTGCATGAAGATCATTATCAGAGTCAGCTATAATTCTTATTAAAGCCCGCTTTATAAATCGCAACAGAATTTGAAATAGGATTCTACTTATAACTTTATGTACTGTACAACAAAGAAAATATTTAAAGAATTCGTATACATATTTATATAAAAAAAACCATGTTGAAATATATCAAGTTGTAAGTTCATAATTCTGTCATAAATAATTATTAGTCAATATGTATTAATATAGATTTAAAATGCTTTCATAAATTATAATTAATCAGATCAATTCAAACAGGCTTTCGAACTTATAAATAATTAACAATAATTAATTTTGCAAACTATTTAAAGTGTATTATGTATTTTAGCAAACATATAATTATTCCTATTGTTATTCGTATTGTCCGTTTTTGTATTCGCTTGAATTTCGAATTAGCCTCTATTTGAATAAAGAAATTTGAATAAAGAAAAACGCGTCTGGTTCTTAACTGTCATTAATTAACAAATTCATTTTTGTTTTTTAACTCACATACCAATAGTAAATATTATTTTTCTTGTACTTTAATGATTGAAAGAGAAAAGATCTACGTGACTAAAGGTTAATTACGGATTCACAAGTCAGTGGTACAGCTATCTCTTCGTTTTCTGCAACTGTATTGCTGTCATGCAAGTGGTAAAGAATGGGTGTGAATAATTCTCGTGAAAGCGCTGTTGAAAACATATATCTTCCTAACTCATAATCGACACGGTTTCATGATAATATGACGGTCTATAACAAGAATAAAGCAGTTTTAATGAATTAAAACTACAATTTGCTTCTATTCAATTCTTAATAAAAATATCATTATAAGTTAAACGTATATCTTAAAATAGAAAAACTCGCATTTCTAAATTAATTTTTGTAGATATAAAATATAAAATAAATATATTGAATAAATAAATAAATAGTATATTGAATAAATAAATAAACAAAATAAATAAAATTAATATGGTATAATTAACTCATTAACAGATAATTAACTTGAAGCTAATAATAATACACATAATAATCATAAAAATAATATGTAAAATCCAACGTTAAATGCAATCGAAACTACTTCTAGATTGAACAGGCTTCACAGTGTCGGAGGATGCACTTACGCATGCGTTTCTCTTCCGGAACATAGGCTCGGCACGGAGAAGTGTCATCTCAGTAAAAGTGCTTGCGGCACTTCAAAACGGTACATGTAGTCGAACAGAACGTTCAAGGTGGAGAAAGGGGACGATGGTGGAGGGAAGATAGAGAAATGAGAAAGAACATAAATAATGCTACGCTCGAGCAGGAACAGGTTCTCCGGAAAGCAGGCCAATGGCGTCTTTAAGGTCATTGCCAATCGCGGATCGAAATTCCTAGACTTTTATAACAGGCCTGAGGCAAAACATACCACTTAAACGGGATCGTGTAGCATCTCACGTTTCAAGCAAACTGACAGGTTTCATTGTATTTGCTATGTGATAAGAAAATTGTACAAAAAACTGATCGCAATGTGTGATTTTTGTAATCATCGCGACAAAGTTAGTGAGTTGCATACGAGCATATTTTATTATTTTTATGAAACAAGAAGTGATAAGCTGCAAGATATGATTGGCTATTCAGCAGAATATCTATTTCACAACTGTTGATTTTAAATTTTCTCCGCAAATCGCGCTGATTGAATTATATTTTTAGATTCAGAGATCTTTCTTGAGCAAAGAAAATTTCTTGCAGTTGCAAAATAAATATTATGCTGAACGCATTTTGCTGAAATCATTGAATGAATAATTGATGTTTTTCAGAGAAGGAAATGTAATAAAGCAAAAAAACAATAATTATTGAACACGAATTATTGACAATTGAATTAAAAATTTGAAACGCAGAAATAATTTTTTAATTGTTATTATAGATGAAGTAGATTATTCTTCGAATTATTAATGACCGAAAATGTACCAGATGCTCATCGATAATCGTGAAAAGAAACGGAGGATGTTAAAGAGTAACACTGACCTACTAATCCTATAGCACGTAACGTTTTCTCTTGAGATTCAACGCATGCTGCTACACGTAGTATCTGACAAATAACGTACAACTTTCCTTCAAGGCGAAATGTATGTACTCTTTAATTTGTGATATCGCATCTATATGTTTATTCAACAGTCATTGCCATTCAAGTAATATAACAAATGTTCTTCAAAACCTTCCAAACAGAGCACAAATTTTGCTTTCCTTAGAAAAATGCGCTTTCGTGTCCTTCGTTATGCACAACACAATTACCAGACTACTAATTGCAAAAAGTAACATGCGTAGAAGCTGCAGAATGAAATCAGTATATTAATGTATCTCAAATGTATCATCGTGATTTAGCTAATCTTAAATAAATTATTATTAATAAATCACAACACATTTATTCGATGTTGTAGATTATAAAAATGGAATCATTTTCGAAAATTGATTAACGATTAAAATAATACGATTGAATAATAAATCTTTACATATCATATTCTTTGGAGCAAATATAATAAAGAATATAATGTAATAAATAATATAAACATGAGAAAATAATACAATAAAGTTTGATGCTCATGAAAGATTACTATAATTATTCTTTATACTGCAATGAGGGAAGCTTTCTTTTCGTGTCGGTATTTTGTTAATATTACCTTTCTGTTTCTATATTTCCATTTCTCCATAATTTTACTTTCAGTTTCTCGAATTGCATACAAACGAAACACGAGCAAGTGTTGCAACATAATTGTGTTACAGCGAAATTACTCTCACCCACTAGCACACGAACCGCTTTACTATACTCGTACTTTGATCTCGAACTACAGTACTATACACATTGCGTTTTTTTAAATCACATTGCGTGCGTCATACGGGAAACACGTATCGTATATTAATAAGATGGTTTGACGTATTGGAAAATCAATTTTGCACTTTATATAAAATTATTGCATGTATGCAAAAATATCAAATATATTATCAATTATATTTGATATTTTTGCATACATGCAATAATTTTATGTAAAGTGCAAAATTGATTTTCCAATACGTCAAACCATCTTATTAATATACGATACGTGTTTCCCGTATGACGCACCCGTATTATCTTATAAAAAAATTTATACAAAACTACGTGATAATTTTCATACTGTGTGTGCTGCATAAATTAAAAACTATTTATTATTAATAATTTTCATCTTTGTTAATCCGCAGATTCTGTACATTCAATTTTTGTTTGTAAATTGACTAGTAATCGAAAAAAAGATGTGCCCACATTTAAGAGGAAATATTCATATGATTACACGTTATATAGCGTCTATTAAGAATTATCATGAGATTCTATTCAATTTCACTCTAATAGGTAAAGACAACCATTCAAGAAAGTGTGCCATACGGGAAGTTTGTCAGCAACAGATCAGAGTTTGTCAGTCAGAAGAAGAATTAGCCGCAAAAAATTCACCCTGACGTGCAATCGCTATACTTAGGCACGATTTTATTTTTAAGTAGCATTTAAGTACCTGAATAAGGCCCAGGCACTACATAAGGTCCACTTTTAAATTTATTACTTTAAAACTCGCTTTACACTTGCATTATATGCTTAAAAGATGTGTCATAGAAAGTAAATAAAAAAAGGATTAAAGAATTGGAATCGATAGCAACACGTTTGTTTAATACAACAAAAACTTATGTATATGAGGCTAGTATGAGCTATTTTTATAACAATCCGCTGCAAAATTTAAACTAGTATATTTCATAATTTATTATAATTCATTATAATATTATTTAACTAAATAACTAATAAAATAACTAACAAATCAATTTTTATTTTTATTTTGCACGAATAATTATATTTTGAAATAAGTATAAATATTTTTTTTATACAATGTACTTATTAAATAAGGCCCACTTATGTGATTTTCATTATGGCTATTATTATTTGTTTGTTATGTGTGGAGTTTACGCCATAAAATAACGATTTTCAATGCTGTTATCTTTTAAGAAGCCAAAATTGCATTCAAATTGCTAAAAATTTCCAAAAATTAAAGAGTTAATTACAAACAAAATTAAAGATAATTGTAATATTTGAGAGTAGAATAAGTTCTAAAGAATTTCATTTCTATGATTAATAATCATTTTAAAACTGATTTAGAAAGAAAATGTAATTTATCTTCTTTGCTATTTTTAATTTATTTTTTATTTGGGCCTTATATTTATATGTATGTAATAAGGCCTAATGTCAGAGTTTAACAAAATTTTTTTTCGTTCATGTACACATATTCTATATAAATATATTTTATTTTTGAGAGTGAATGAAATGAAGATTTAACTCTCACTTAGTTTATTTCAATAGAAAATAGAATTTAAAAAAATGTTATATATATATTAAGTAGACCTTATTCGGTTCAGGTACCTTATTTAAATCATTGAAGTAATTGAGAAAACGCTACTAAAAAAAGTATGCAATATGTACGCATAGATAAACTACACGAAAAGAAGATTTTGCTAATAATTTAGGTAGATTTGAAAATAATTTTGTTGGATCTACAAAATAATTATGTAGGAAACTCAAGCATAATAAACATGTTGCAAAACATTTATATATTCTAGTTTAAGCATTTTTTATATAATTATTTTAATAGTTTACAACAAAATTATTTTCAAATATATTTTTAATGAAATTTTTAGATATTTCGGCAAAACCGTTCTACGTACAATTAAAAACTGCTCTTTATTACTTTTTATATATTGTTTTTTTTTTACAATAATTTTTATATAAACGAGTAAAAGATTTTCTGTATCTTTACGAAATTATAATCATACAATAATATACCTGTACAAATAATAATCAAGTATTTCAACATAATAGCGGAATTATTCTGTGTTTCAATGAAAGGTTTTCTTCTTTGTTATCTGTCAACTAACTGTTACTTACCTATCTATCTAAAAGGCAATAAGCGAAACGAAAGGCAGCACGCAAACAATAATAAGAAATTTTTAATTTACGTAAATAAAATAACGTAACAAATTTACACAAAATGATACAAATGCATGTATCTGTAATCATGTAATGTAATCGTAGTTGTATTTAACTTTTTCTTAAATTGGCAAAAATATGTAGCACATATGTGTATATTATTATTGGATAAAAAATAAAATTATTCGATATTGAATTAATATTTCACCTTGCACAGATTTTGAAGGAAAAAAATTTTTATATAAAACCATTCCTTTTGTCGACTGCTAATAATTCAACCTAAGTATCCAGATAAGTATTCAGCGTATTGCTAATATCTTTCTCTTAATTTTACATTAATAGTTATGTTTAATGCGCTATGTATAATTGTCAACTGATAGTTTAAAAGTGAAAAAAGTAAACGAATCAATGACTTACGACTTGAACGGCAAATGTACGTGGGCGAGATCACGAGTACCTTGACGCGGAATAAGTTCGACAAGAAACACGAGTGACTCTCTTGGATGGATGGTCCGACTTGATGGCGAGTTCACTATGAAATACCGAGATGCTGCAGCGTATGTCCCACTTATCAGCTTTGCGCCTCCTCGCGTAAAATGACGACGATCGTCAACGAAGCTCCCCGCTCGTCATGTCGGTTGTTCTAAAAAGCCAAGACTCTTGCAGGGGCAAGCGACGGAAATGACAGGTTGCAAAAACTGAGAGTTGTATGATTCGCTTTCTCGAAATCGATTATTCCTATTGGATAAAAGGCACACCTATTCTCATGTTCTCAATTCACGATTCCGGCGTCACGTTATTCTTTGTCAATCGTTTTGCTACTTCAATTGTTATATGCAAATCACGTAAGTACGCAATAATCCATAACTCTATATAGCAATGTTTGTAAAGCATGATTCAATATTTTTTTAAATCACTTTCTATGTATACACTGAAAAAGACTGATTAAAAATTTTTTTAATTGACTCTATCTATTTAATGATATTATACAATATTTAAAGGGATTCTGTCGTCTGTACATAGAAAAAAAAAGATTTTCTCTGCCGCAACTAATCTTGATTTGTTATAATTAGAGCTACCAAAATATGCATAGAGCATGTTTTTTTTGTTTGAATAATAAAGAAATAAATTAAATACAAATTTGTTTCATAAGAAATTACATGCATTTTGAATTCTATATGTTACAGCATATTTTACACATAAGAGCATATTTCAGGCGCTTAAAAAGGGATTTTTACAGCATAATTTTGTGATATATTCCTTCCTTTAGAGCATTTTTTCAATTTCACAGCATATTTTAGGCGCTTAAAAAAAATTTTTATAACATAATTTTAAGATATATACCTTTTTTAGAGTATTTTTTCAATTTTCACAGAGCATATTTTAGACGCTTAAAAAGGAATTTTTAAGCATAATTTTGCTTTAGTTATAATATATTTGCTGCCGTAATTATAAATTTATAAACTACAGCGAAATGGTTTATGATTGCTGCTATATTATAGATATTACAGATAAGACATTAGTTATGATATCTACATTTTAGCTGTCCATATTTTATACCTGCCATTTAGTTACTACATGTAGTTTTTAGTTACGACAGCTATAAAATTGACATTTTAGTCAGTAATTGTTCTTATAAAAAGTTCCAATTCTTGTTGTTTAATTTTATACTTTAACTTCGAATTGCACTTGCGAGGTTTGCGTAAAAAAATATGTGAATCTGGAAATTACGTATTTACCACACGGAGTCGCACTTTACTTCTCATAATAAAGAATCCTACGTATAAAAGAAAATAATTTAGTGATTAAGTAATGTTCAATTTCAAGTTTTGTCAAATTACTCTGATATCGCGTACCATAAGCAAATTGAAAAGCGTTTTACAATTTTCTCTAACTAGTTTATTGTTTAATTTTATGTATATTTTGTATTGATAAGCCACTTCAAAAAAATTTCAATTTAAAAAATTTCAATCATTGTATTTTTTTTAAATATATTGTATGTTGATATATTAAACCGCAGATAAAAACATTCTATTGTTTCTGAATGAGTCACTGAGAATGTAATCTTTAAATCGGTCTCTTGCATTTTTTTTTGTACAACTAATTCGATTTAATAAAACGATTTAATAATTAAATACATAATATTTGCATGAAGGATGTTTTTTATAAATTTCTGCAACTTACATGCGTCAATAACTTTACAAAAAAAAATCTAAAATTTTTTTTCGCGAAACACATGTCTCATGTTTTTATCTGCAGTAACACGTTAACAAATTAAAAAAACACATTAAAAAAAAAATAAAATGATGTTTCGAAGATATCCGATTTGATGTAGAATGCCTCAAAGATTCTAAGTATATATGTATAATAAAGTCATTTTAAGAAGAAAACATGTAAAATATTAACTTACTTTCAATGATTAAATTAGTACGAACACAAATTAGTACGAATTCAATTGTGTTACTTTTTGCCCTTGTGTTGTTTTTTATGGTCCTATTAGTTTAAATATTAAATTAACAGCGCCACTGTTTTCTTGGAAATGATACATAATATAGAATTGTTTTTGATAAGATAAAATAGTACAAATTCAATCCTATTGATTTCTGACATTATTTTTCTTTTTTTCTTTTATTTTGAATTGGTTTTGCCAGTCTAATATTAAGCTAGCACTACCACGATTTTTTTCGAAAAGGCACACGGTACAAAATTATCATTAATGATACAATTTAGTACAAAATGAGTATTAAAACTTCCGAAAGGTCCTATTTGATTCTGCTGATTTGGTCTTGCTAACTTTATAGAGCTGACTGAATCATATAATTTTTGTATAACAATTTTTCCTCTTTTACAAATTCAAAAATCTTTTCTAGGAATAAAGTGTTTTGTGCATGTAGGAATATATGTTTATAAGATGGAATTTATGCCGAGAACGTTAAAAAATTTAGATCTTTTTTACCATTTCTTAATCCAATATGGCACTCTAAAGCTCTCATATCGTGACAATATTATATTTGCATACAAAAGCTATGCAGTCTGTATTTATGAAACAGTAGTGTGCTAGATAATAGACTAATAATTTGCATGAATAAACAACACGAAATTCTTAGAATTGGACTTAGACGTCTAATTAAAGCGTTCTTGTTATACAAAAATGTATGTGAATGTGTGCACGAGATATTGATATAGTATGCAGTGATGTATTAGTGACACGTAAATCGTATGTGTGTAAGTCCTACTTACACTATGACTAATCGTCTTTAGGATGCCTTAAATACTTAATGTAAATTACTAATATATACTGTATATATTACTAATATATATAGAGAAAAGTTTCTTTAATTCAAAGACATATTTCTTTGCTTACGGTTAAAGAAAAAAATTCTTTGATTTGAACATAATTTCTTTAAATAAAAGAAATAACGTTTAAATCCAAAGAAACATTTCTTTGAATCAAAGAAACCTTTCCCTGAGGGTATTCCCGATTAAATTTAATTTTTCTCAGAATATATAATTGTATATCTAAGCAACTCCGAAGATGTAAATGCTTTTTTACTTTTTTTTTATTTTTTGGATTTTTCTACATACAGGATGTCTCGTAAATTTTAGCCAGTCGCTTTTGTGTAGATAGAGCGGAATAAACTGAGTTGAAAAGTTTCTCTACCATTTTGCAATTTTCGCAATAGTTAATAAAATATTAATTACTAAAAATTGCCAAGTATTGGTCTTGAATAATTTTTTCAAATACTGTCAACTTTACAGAAAAACTGCAAGAGACAAAAATCATTTATTTTCTTCTCATAAAGTTCTGAGGAATTTTTTCAGAATTTTTTAATATCGAATTTTCTCATGTTGGTAAAAGTAAGAAAATCCAATACTAAAAAATTAATAAAAAAATTCTGAAAAAATTCTTAGAGTTCTATGAGAAAAAAATAAATTATTTTTGTCTCTTGCAGTTTTTCTGTAAAGTTGATAGTATTTGAGTAAAAAATTAGAGTATTTGAGTAAAAAGTAATAAAACTTTATTTCTTTAATTTGTTCTGATCAGTACTGATAAATCAAAATTATGAAACGTGACAAACTCCGAGGAACCAAAGTCAAGCGATGTGTTTTACAATTCGCAGTGCAATTATGTTCAACAATAAGTGACTATATGATTTTTTTTCGTGGTGATCACAGTCCGTGGTGATCCGCATCAGCGAGCGTACATACTACTCGATACACAATGTCCGTCTTACATATCTGCGTTCTACTTGTCTTTATATATTCTAATTTTTTTATACTTATATGGACACACTTATTTGAATAATTTACACATAATTTTTTACCTTTTCCAAGAGATACATTTGATTGTTCAATCGTACGTGAATAATGTGATTATCTATATCAAGACTCATCCGAACGGTGAATATAATGAATATACGAATATTTGCGATAATTAATTTTATACTGCGATTTTTTTCGATAAGTTAATGTCTGAAGAGGGCTCCGGTAGCCGAAACTTGTAATTTGTATTTAAATTGAGTTTTTATTATTTTTTATTATATATTTTCTTTAATTTTACTTTTCTCTTTTACAATTTATTCTTTTAATTGTGTGACTTTTTTAAAGAAATGTGTTGACTCGTACTTTACCCTTTATTTATTATTATTCATTTTGTATAGGAAGAGTCCTTCAATCTGTTAAATGTTTTTTTAGGTTCATAATTATTGTATGATTTGTAAAAATAATTAATTTCATTTAAAATGTTGAAGGTGGCTAAACAATTACAAAATATAAATAATGAAGAGCATACAGCCACAACAATAAATGTTAACGCAAGTCATATATATAAATTCACATATAAATAAGTAGATGTTTCGGTCAAGATTTGACCATCATCAATACAAACGAGATGACGCGTTAACATCTATTGTTGTGGCTGTATGCTCTCTATTATTTATATTTAATAATTAATTTCACTTATATATTGTAAGCGACAGGTTGTACCGGTAAGTTTCTTTTGTAGGATTTATACCTTCTACATAAAAAATATTAAAAAAAGTTTTGTCAGATTTATAAAATTTGTTTAATATTCATTATTAACTTCTGTATGAAATCTATGGATAGCTACTGTGAAATGCCTTAGATTATAGATGTAAACCAAACTTGTCAAACTGTAATTGGCAAACTTCTATTTGAACTATGTTCTCAAAAATGTGATATAAGTAGAGAGTCAAATTTTTAAGAGATAATCTTTGCGATAAATTAATATCTATTAATTTATCGCAAAAATTACAAAACTATATCAATGATTATAAAGAAGAGAAAAGTACCGGAATTCTTGTAAAATTTGTCATCAAATTTAAAAAATATCAATTCCAAAACCAGTTTGATTACTTCTAAAAATATATCTTTCAAAATTTTACACGTAAAAGAATGAACTTCCATCTATTTAAAAGTTACTTAATAGCAAGATCATTCAAAATGTTCGTACACAATAAAACGATATCTAATGAAATTAAATTGTATCCGTCTTTCATATGGATGTTATTCAGTTTATTTACCTCAAAATTATTATTCATTCGATTGTAAGCTGTCGTAATAATACTTTTAACAATTATTTTGTGTAAAAATAATACAATCAAGCGACGC